CGGGGTCACCGGGTTAATTTTTTAGTTATTAGTGACATAAACGAAAAATCAGGTCTGGAAAATCCTTTTGGAATGTTGCCATGGTAACTGCTGACGACAAAATAACAGCTGTTTTAAGTCAGGTATAAATTATATAATCCAAACCTACAAAAATATTACGGTGGCCCTGGTCTGCCTTTTTGTTCTATTCTTACAAAGTTATGAGTCGTCAAAAACCTGAAAACTGGTACGAGCCACCTTACGCCTTTCCAGCATTTACATGTTAAAAAATAAAGCAAACTACGTATTGTAGGGATTTTTGAAGTATTTAATGAATGTATTTGACCTCGTGATTTTTGATCACATTTTTTTACAGCTAACAAAACGCGCATGCAAGTAATTGAAATTCACCAAAATTCAACCGTCACCAGGCTTTCTATGGCGCTGTTAAAGGTAATAAAGAATCATAAATAAAAATCTACTGCCTACTGTCGTTGGTCGCCACTTCGTAATCGAAGGTGCACGCAAAGAGTTTGACGCGAATCTGAGTTCATAGTTGGCCACGGATGCAAGGCGTGGCCAACTATATCCTACCATTCGTAAATGCGGTTTCGGTACTTGTCCATGTTTCACGCTGTACTGCGTTTATTTGGCAATTTTTCTTTGCGTTACCTCCTGTGACCTACTGCAACTTTTGTGCACTCCGTCAAGAGTCAACAAGAAGATTTCACTAAGGAAAGTCAGACTACTTACATTGAGAACCAAATGTTTGCTAAGTTCATTGACTTGAGACGAAAGTTGGTGAGAAGAAGAAAACCAGTATCATTTAAATCCATAACTTTATTCTTCAAAAAAAAGTTCCTAGCAATTCCATACTACCGATGGTATTAAACAAAAGAGTAATAATTTATCCCAACCGTTGTAATATGACGTTACAAATCAATGCAAACATTGATGCACGCGTGCGCGAAAGTAAAAAATGGTGCACAGCATGTATCCTCCACTTGACGCCGAGGCTGCGGTGATGTTCTTTTCAACGTGGAAGTCCGTGTTATCCACCTTGAATGAAAAGTAAACTCCGTTAGAATTATCAACGACGTAACTGAAATTCCAAAATTATTCCAAAAGGTACATTGCGCATTTATGTACATTATTGATCCAATCGTAGCCCAGTAATTTGAATTCCAAGTGTTCAAGATTAATTGCAATATTATAAACCGTATCGTCCGAATTGCCTCCAATACGGGCATTTTTTGGAGTGCGTGACGAGCCAAAGGCTACGAACATCCAAAGCACTTTGAGATCAATTCTCCGACCAGACGGCATTTTGAGTTATTTTGTCAGCGTGAAAATAGTAGTTTACTAAGATAGAAAAACACCAGAGATAATACTAAACTATAAAGGAACAAGGATGGTCGAGGATGCAAAAGATTAGCACGGATTGCAAACGACAAACTTAAAAAAAAATTAGGCTAAAAATTTCAAGATGGGCAAACCATGATGTAACTCCTTAAAACAAATCATCGTTTCTTGTTTTTCTTTGTTTTTTCGTTTTTTTTTTTTTTTTTTTTTTTTTGAATGAGTAAGAGCTACATTACCACAAATTCCATCTCGAAACAACAAATGAGCAGCCTGTATTACCTTGCAGCTGTACTCGACTTTAGACTTGGCAAAGTTCACAAACCGACACGTCTGGCTTTGACTAGTCCCAAGGCCTGCGCGAAAGTGGACTGGGGCCTCCGTGCCAGCAGGCGTAGCGGTCAGGTTGAGATCGTACTGATAAACACCCAATTCTGAACTGCTGAAGGACAGTCGGCCAGTCAGTTCACCAGCCTTTAGAGGCAGGTATTCAAACATACACGAACCCTGCAAATGAGGATAAAAAGACGAGAATAGGCCCTTTGCACGATCCGGTCACATGGTGCAAAATCACACATGCTGGTGAGCAAGTTCCGCAGTCGGACTTCCAAAACAAAGGCAGGTCCAGGTGGACTGGTACGAGTGGCATTGTTTTGGTAGTCCCACTGATTTTGCATTTTGACCGGATCGTGCAAAGGGCCTATTAAATGTAGAACACTCCGACGAAGATGATCTACTGGAAATTAGCAGGTATGCGAGTTTAAATTGCCATCCCTACGGAAAAGGCCCAAAGGACCAACAGGAGACGGCAAATCGTATAATGACAAAAAAGAAAAATAGATGGCTTTGGAAGGTATTTTCCCTATCTAATTGCGTAAAGACCTATCAAACCTATCAACGACCTATCAAATATTGCAACAGCTCTGTTGATCGAAGGTTCTTACACCTTCCCTTCAGCAATCACAAATAACATAAAGTAAACAACAAACATGCCACAGGGAACTGTCTATGTAATGGACTTGGTACTGACGTCTGAAAAGGGCGGAACAGTGAAACTTGGTGGCAGCTGGATATCAGCAACAGAGCATTGAGAGTTGAATGTAACAGGGGTACTAAGGGGATTGTGTAACGTGACCACATGTGAGGTGCTCTTTCGTATGGGCGTGGACAGATCAATGGTTGCCATCACTCCAGGAGGAACTGCCTTGAATGTCACGTAATAAAACAGATATTCTCCGCTCTGTTCGTTACGGAAAATCAGCTGCAAGTTAAATGCGGACATTAGGCACGAGTGGCCGAATTTGCAATAACCTTCTGGTAGTAAGGACCTAGACAAACGAGGAGGCTTCGCCAAAACACATTTTTTTCTGTTTAGCCACAAGGGAACATGTTTTCAGCAAAGTGTTCTTGAAAAAAAAAAGAGCTCTTGATTGTTGCAGAGCAAAGAAATTAAGGTGAACATCTTCAGTTATCTGTAGGCTAAGACAGAATCTTCAACAGTTTCAATGTCGTAAATGCAAAAATCCACAAAAATCCAATAGGCCTTTTAAAATGGAACTATTTCAACAACTTTTCGATGCCATATTTCTTTCTTTAATGAATCGTCTTGTTACCGAGTTGTTGTAGAATGTTGAAAACTAAACAAGTTTTCTTGACCAAGGTGAAGCCTTCCACTAATTCTTTGGTCAGCTATGTTCCAATAATGACTACCAGTTAAAAGTGAAAGCAAGTTCTCCAAAAAAAAAAAAGAAAAAAAAAACGGACGAGAGGCAAATTCGTAATAAAGTCAGAAACAGAAGGACTCGATACAGTCAAGAAACATCACATATCTATGCTCCTTACCTTGGCACTGAAAGTTCCCTCTTTATGAGCAAAGAAGTTCAGCCTGTACTCCCGCTTAGAAAGCCCCGGAACATCAATATAGTCCAGCCCCTTTTTTAGCTTTAGCATTGTAGCCGGCATTATCTGGTTTATCAGGCTTACGCATATCTATAATAATGCGAAATCTAACGAAAAAAATCAGTAAATGTCATTTTAACACTGTGAATAGCCCGAACAAAACACCATGAGCACATGGGCCGAGCTTTATCAATCCAGCAAGAAGCATTTCGACATTAGAAAAGATTATGAAGTAACGAGAGACTATGATGTCATAGTCACTTGGAAGCAACTTCTACCATTACGCGTTCAGGTAGATTACACCAAGATAACAGTCTGGATCACTCGAGATAAAAACCAAAGCTCAAGATTTTAAATTTCGATCATGATGTATCGACTGTACCTTCGCTTTGCCTGGCCTTCCTTACTTGACGCACTCTTGAACTTTGTACAGCAATAGCAGAGCGTACAAAGGTTTTTATCGTTGTTTTCTCATAAAACAAGACATACTACAAACCTCTAGGGTAGTCTCAGCCAGTTCGTGACAGTTAGCATTTCAATGTAAGGAGTCTTACAAGGTATTTCCCTCTGTAGATTGTTAGTAGGCTTGGGACCTTCTGCGTTACCTGTCAGTTATACAAGAGGTCGTTACCATCCGGCAGGGCGAAAAATACAGAGCCCTGAAACAAAAAGAAGTGTTTTGTTCAGATTATGTCTTTCGGTTGAAACAAGTACTTCAACGGAACCCAAGGCATGTCACTTACAAACTGGTATGTTACTGACAAGTTACAATAAGTTTTTTTCTTTTGGCATCTAGTATCTTTCCCCTGTTTTGTCTTTGCGTCTACTTTTGTTCCACTGACTGGATCAGAGCATTTTGCACGGGTTTCTTAAGTCAGTTATGAACGAAAGCAAAAGTTAAACTTGCTGAAGAAACTTATGTCGAAACTCTTTAAGGTCAAATTACATGGTACATCATGGCCATCAAAGTGAAGAACTGAGAAGACTTAAAGTAATGAATCCTTGCGTATCCTGTACACGTGGATGGTTTTTTGCCTTTTGCTTCACGTAATGCAGGATTAAAAAAAAGTCGGCCCGGCTCCTAACTTCTGCTTCAGCGGCTGATTTCCCTTAAGAAAATCAGTCAAAACCGACTCGACTGATAATCCTCACGTAAAAATAAGAAAACATTGGGACGTTTTTATGAAAGATCACAAAATATTCATTAAATTGGGCGAAAATGTGCCAGAAAGGAATTTTCCACCTTGTATAGCCTCCCCTATATGAAAAAACCACTTGTAGATCAAGTTAACTTTTATCAGCTACTCTTATTGAACTTACCTTCTAATCTATCAAAGGGTTCCTTTATTGAGAATCGCTTTTTAAGAAAGTCCAATTCAGGTGAGTTATATTTCCATGGTTAATGGAGTCTTTACTCCAACATGGAAGACAATCAAGTGCAAACGACGGTATTAAAGTCCGGGGCGGGGAACTCCAATATGAAAAGAACAGGCGTGCTCGTCGTATCTCTTAGGAGTTACAAAAGCGGTTTTGGTACCTCTTGAAGTGTTCAGCCTCAACCCGTCCACAGTGGGAGCTCTGCGGTACTTTGTAGGGTTTTGAGCCAAAAAATATGATGACGTGCTATTTTGGAGTTGGTAAAACATTTCAAGCCACGCCCACGATATAGCACTTGGTACCTCTTACGGGTTCTTTTCAAAATTTCTGACAAACACCCCCGTCCTTTTTATATTGAGGTCCCCCAGGGTATTAAGGCCGCCATTCATACATAACCATGACTAGTTGTTAAACATAATATTTAACGATCAGTTGGTCTCATTTATCTCATTTGCATGGGACGTGATTTTTCTTTTCAAAATTTTCGTCGGTTA